TGGTCCGCTACAGCATGACAGAGGAACACTTTTGTAAGTACTCCAATTTACCACAAATAGACTACATGGTCCCACGATTTTTGCAGGGAGCCGTGTTCCAGTCGCTTATTCAGATCCGTATCTATTACGATAAATTCTCACGGAAAAGATAATGTGCAAAACCCCTACTGAAAAAGAAAAAATATAAATTCTAAACCGAAAATTCAATACAAACACTTGAATTGTTTTAACCATAACCGAACATTTGTTTGTGTATATATTCATTTGTCGGTGCAGTCAATTATAATTTCCACACTTAATTAGGAAACAAAACAAACAGAGCTGATCACAAACTAATCCAGATTTCTAGCAGCATCATATCGATGTTGAATTTGCGTAACTTTTCTTTATGCAAATAATGTAAAATATAAATGAAATCTCGATCGGCGATCACTGAAACCCAGCTAGCGACTGTTTACTCGAAAAAGCAATGTTGCCATTTTTTTCATTAACCATGTTCGAATCGTGGAAATTTTGGAAGACCACAGGGTTGCTTTTAGCATTTAGATTCTTAATGCAAAAATGGAGTTGCATTTAGTTGCATTTAGGTGACGAATTTTGTATGGATAAATGAACATTTAGAGTAGCATTTAGGGCTAATTGCGTTAAATGTGCTTTTACGCGTAAGCAAAAACAGCCCATAAGACAGGTCGTGTCAGCAGACTCGGATTTACGTACCGGTAGGTTTACGTTCTTGACTAATTTTACTTTTAGTAAGCAAATTTGCCCATAAAAAGTGTTGGCAGCTCTTTTTGACTGTCAGGTTCACAAAGGACGAAATACCGTACTGTCTGGTGTGGATTGTTGGTTATAAATAAGTACTAGTTTTAGTCATGAACCAGTAAATTTAGTTTTATGGTGCACAAAAATAACAGTTTGGCCGTGTAGTTCCTAAAGTGTAGCTTAGGAGATTTCTATTCACAAGAAGTTAAACAAAATTTAACGGAAATTGTGCGAGAATATGGAAAAATCGCCTCGATGTAATTTGGAATTTGTGCGCGACGACGACTACGTTGAATATTTTATTTTCCCAAATTTGTCAGATAAGTTAACAAATATTCAAGAAAGCAGTGTAGAGCTGGAGCAGCTCCGAGTGGAATTGTCTGTACTTGAAAAACAATGCATGGAAATCGTGAACAGACGGGTTGAAAACTATGGCTATATTTGGCACAGAGATGAATTTAAATTACAAATGCGCACCGAGTGTGCGCAGGAACGACTGTTGAATAACGAGGTTAACAATAGTTCGCTTGGTTCTGTCGCAGGTGAGTAGCTTATTTTTATATTTTATTACCCATATCTATGTTAAAAATTTGTGTATATAAAAACAGCATTACCTCTACCCCCCCATCTGCATGGCATTTCACACTATGGAGAAAATATCGAAGATGAGTGGTTCATAGTCCACCTTTTATATGAGTTAACACGTAAGGTGCCAGGCTGCATTGCTCGTGTCATTGACGCTGATGGAGAGTTTCTCCTAGTTGAAGCTGCCGAGGCACTTCCAACTTGGGCCAATCCAGAAAGCTGCGAACAGAGAGTACGTAATCATAATTGATATTTCTTGAGTCATATATTAACTACAGATATTCTTAGGTTTACATAGCTGACGGCCACATGCATTTGGTTCAAAACTCACCATCTACTTCCTCAAAATTATTATCGGTTGGTGCAGCAGTTGAGAAAATAAGACAGAGCCCCAGTCTCTATCGTGTATCTAAGGAAATTCAAAATTGCATTAACGAACGTACGAAAGCTTTTAATGGAAGTAGTAATCCAGCAGCACATCGCCAGATAATGCGTTTACCTTTGGGTGTCGCAGCGCTACTTAAAACTCGTCCATCGTTGATTGCACCAGCTGTACGAGCTTTTTGTGAACGTGATGCTATTGACTTGAAGGTTTGCCGTTCAATGCGGTATTTCCCACCTGAGCAGTGTGTTCGAACCAATGTTCTATTCACTCGTTGTCTCTACGCTATGCTTATGCACACAAATTACAAGCCTGACAGGAAAGTTGGCTGGGTGCTAAGCAATACTACTAATACTAAAGAATATAAAGAGCAGATATTAGGCATAAAAATTGCGTGTGGTTTTGAAATTTTAGCCTCTCAGGCTAAATGTGCGAATCAAGATGAAAATGATCCGAATTGGCGTTCTTATGTTAAAAATTTAACGTCAAAAGGATATTTTCGAAACAACATAGAGGGCTCAGAAGTGTATAAACGTCTGTGGAATGAAGCACGTACATATTTTACTAAAAATAATGACCGCTTTCGCACAGCGCCATTAGTTGGATTAGAAATTTTGAATTTGCTACAGAATGTAGATATTTCGGCAGAAAATTTGTGCGATGAAGAAAACAATCTGGAGGTACGCAAAACTTCTATATTTTACTTTGTTAATATACTGTACTAATCCTATCCTTAGCCGAGTGATGCCGACGATTGGTTAAATATTAGTGCAGATCAGTTGGATGCAATGTTGATAGAACGCTATGGTCCCAAAAAAATGCTTAACTCGAATGGTGACATAAATGCCGCGGAATTTACAAAAAATCTCGCTGATTTTCTTGATAAGGAGTCTACATACGAAGGTATAGACGATGATGACATTGAGGATTCAGATAGTGATTGCATCGAGGCGGAAACCAGTGCAACGTCTAAAAAGAATGACGACCCAAAAGTTAACCTTAAAAAAAATCATTCCTTGCGTAAGGCTTGTAATCGGAACTCAGTTATTAATGAAACAGCAAACGCAAATCGAAACAATCAAGCCACTACCATGGAAACTGAAGATAGCACACATGTACGAAATTTTTTGGATTTCGTTATTCCAGAAGACAAATGGGAATCTACTTCTGAAATGAGTGACTATGAAGATGACGATAAATTGGAGCACAATTTTGAATCAATGGCAAATTCCGACAAAAATATTGATAGTCATATCAAAAATTACATGGACCAAATGGATAAAGAACTTGCTAACACCACTATTGGTCAAACATTTGAGAAAAATAGCTCTTTTACGGCTTCCAAAAACGCAGATGATTTCGATGACATCGAGTCATTTCAACCGATTAACATCAATGTAAACACATTAAAGAACATAGTGGATAGCTACAAATCACAGTTGGGAGGATCGGGCCCAGTTTCGAATTTGCTGAGTGCAATGGGTGTGGGTATGTCAAATGCAGCACAACTCGACAGCGACGATGATGAAGCTGATGTTTTAAAAGAATCCAGGGTATAGGCTTAAGACTCGTAAATATGTACATACATATGTATGGAAATGTACATATAAGGCGCTGGGATCTGAAATTTTCTTGCATCACTGTATTATTTATATGTGTACTTATTTTAAAACTGGCCATGATTCAACAACTGCGCCTTGGTCACTGGCACATATTTTATGTAGTGCATTCAATTCATGTAGTTCTAGGATGTGCCCATTACATCAGAAAGTATCTTGTTATGCGAAGGCTTGTATTAAAGTAAATGTACGAACAATATATTTAAATATTTTTTTCCTTATATTGATAAAACCGTGTATAAATTTTGGTTGGAACAAGTGCAGAATACCTACATTTCTCTACTTCGAACTTCAATAACACCAGTAATTATTATTTCAAAAAAAAAAAATTATACTGTTATGACCAGGACTAAGACCCCTATCGATCCTAATATAATATTTTAATCAGATAAATGTACGTATTCTGCACTTAGTGCAGTTGTTCCCAGCTTCTACGTACTTTGAATTTCAATAACACCAGTAATTATTTCCCGCACAAAAAATTATACAGTTACGATCATATCGATCCTAATATAAATTTTTTTAATTTGGGAATTGTAGGTATTCTACATTTAAGATATTTTGGTTAAATATAGCGTTAATTATACGCTGAAGTCTTAGTTTTCGATTAATCTTTAGAGGCAGGGACAAAATTTCCATAGTCTCTTCGTACATTTATTGGTTGATGCGGGCGCTCCTCACGACCATTGCCGCCACGGAAGTTTCTGTCGTTGTGGTTATCGTTGAAAAGTCGGTTATGTCTGTACGATTGACCTCCGCCGACGCGAAATCCTCTGCCATGAGCATGATCTCGGCTGCGTTTATTCCAACCTCCGCGATTATATTTGTTGCCACCTCCATAACTGTTTCGTTGCCCAGAAGAACCGCGGTAGCTATTGCTGGACCCAGAATAGCCCCAATTTTCAACTATTGGTGGGTCAGCGAGCGGTTTCGAGCAGTGATTATAAAAATCAGCGTCCTCGTCAGTAAAGCGATTCGAGAATTCCTCCTGGCATTCATCTAAGAACTCGATATCTTTCTCCGTTAGGCGGTTAATTTTACGATTTGGGTCGACCATGTTCAAAGGTTGAGTAAAGAAAATTCCACAATTTAGAAAATCCACAAGACCGACAACTTCGCCCGCATCCAGTTTATTTCACTTTAAAAGCGAATAGAAAATCAAAGAAAACAGTGAAATCAGCTGTTCATGTCCATTCACAATAACAGCAAAGTCAAGGCATTAACCCTCCTTTATCCTTTAGGCGAACACCTTTTGGGCCCTGTCACACGGTCAGTAATTATGACGATAGACTATGAAGACGAAGCATAAAGAAAAAATGCTAGCAATGTTGTGCACATGTTTGTGCTAAGCAATTTATTGGGAAATGTTTAGTTATTGGCCCACCGTTTTTGGGGTGGGGGCGGAGGGGGAGGGGGAGGCCCCCAAAGCCCCCTCATTCGAAAGGGAACAGTCGCCACTTTACGAAAAGCCCCACCCCCCCTTGGGGACCTCCCACAGACCCCTAGGGAACCGTTTGAAAATGGGGTAAAAACGTAATTTTGCGAGGCAAACTGAGCAGTTTCAAGTGGAATATAACCCAACTAACGAAAAACGTGGGATTTTTAAATAAAATAAATTATCCCAAGTTGGTTATCAGGCGATTTGAAAAAAAAAATGATGGGGAAAAAAATTAACTAACAATATTGTGAAATTAAGAAAAAAGCGACAGATAGAAATGTTCGGCCGCACTTAGGGATTATAACCCTCACTACGTAGAATTCTCTTCTGTGTTGCCAAAGAAAGGGGGTTGAACACCTTTTGCAGAGAACACCTTTCTGCGTAGGCGGCCTTCGGCCGCACTTAGGGATTATAACCCTCAGGCAGTAGAATTCTCCTTTCTGTGGTGCCAAAGAAAAAGGGGGGGCGAACACCTTTTGCATAGAACACCTTTCTGCGTAGGCGGCCTTCGGCCGCACTTAGGGATTATAACCCTCAGGCAGTAGAATTCTCCTTTCTGTGGTGCCAAAGAAAAGGGGCCGAACACCTTTTGCATAGAACACCTTTCTGCGTAGGCGGCCTTCGGCCGCACTTAGGGATTATAACCCTCAGGCAGTAGAATTCTCCTTTCTGTGGTGCCAAAGAAAAGGGGCCGAACACCTTTCTGCGTAGAACACCTTTCTGCGTAGGCGGCCTTCGGCCGCACTTAGGGATTATAACCCTCAGGCAGTAGAATTCTCCTTTTTGTGTTGCCAAAGAAAAGGGGCCGAACACCTTTTGCATAGAACACCTTTCTGCGTAGGCGGCCTTCGGCCGCACTTAGGGATTATAACCCTCAGCGAAAGGAGCCACAGGGACAGTAAATACATATTTTCCATGGAAAGGTTTATATTTTTAATGCTGACTGGGTTATATCATATTTTCTTTTGTCTCTCATCCTTCTTGTATATTTAGCAGTTTGACAGCTAAACGCCACCATTTAATGTGCATATGCAACCAAAGGCAAACGCGTGGTTTTGAAGATGTTTTTATTTAATAAATTGTGATTGATAGATTAAAATTAAAGTAATAAAGAAAGTTGTAACAAGTCGAATAAAGTTTAAAGTGAAGGGGAATATAAAAATGCATTAGTGAAGTGGCTGCTTTAAGGAAAATAGGAGTGATAAATGTGAGCTATTTTCCGCATTTTACAAAAAAGGGCATATTTCAAACCCAATTTGTAAATAAATTAGTGACCAAAAATTACAATAGTGGATGTTGAAGTAATGGGTAGACCCTTGGCTACAAGTGTGTGCAATTTTTTTTTGGATCGGGTCACCCCTTTGGACGCAATACCCCGAAATAGGTGGGCCACTTACTAAACCGTACCCAATTTATTATTTATGTACGTGTTTTTGCATTCACACACTTTTTTCTCAATTGCTATTACAAATGGCTGCTTCTGAACCAGTCAGATCTGTTCTAATTGGTTCATGCTGATGGATTGATGGATGGCGCTCGAATGCTACATGTTCAATATTTATCGCGTCAGTATTTGCATAATTTTTGGGGAATATTTTAGTAGTTTTTTCTAGCAACCCTATAGTTCTTATATAATTTGTTGTTAAAGTGTTCGTATAAATGATGAATAAGATAGCAAAATAGCATCAAACTTGGTGCTGCCAGACTGGATTTTGAACAATAAAAGCAAATTTTTAATTCGGAATTTTCAATTAGTAGAATTTTTCTTTGTGCGTAGGCGGCCTTCGGCCGCGCTTTAGGATTATAACCCTTAAGCCCTGTATGCAGCTCTCAAGAAAACGGTCAAGAAAAAATTGCCAAGGAATTTTGACATTTTTGATACCTCACAGCCTGTTGCCTCACTCTTTCCTCAAGAAATAATGGAACGGGCATATATTTCTGTTGTGCTCTCTTTTTACAAAAAACTTTAGAAAACCGTAGTAAATTTCTTAAGAACTGCGTACTGCCTTAAGGAAATTTTACTCAAGAAAATTTCTTGGCCATTTCTTGTACGTCATTTTATATGGAGTTTTTGCTTTTCTTGAGAGCTGCATACAGGCCTTTACCAAATTGATTTCTCCTTCTGGTGTGCACCAACTTGGGCTACCGCCGCAGTGATGTAGCCTTGGGGAAAGGATAAGGTAACTAGAATTCCCTTTCTGTGTGGTAAACCTGGGGCTGCCGCCCCAGTGATGTCCATTATGGTTATGATCAGGACTAAGACCCCTATCGATCCCAATATAAATTTTTCCAATCAGAGAAATGTACGTATTCTGCACGTATTAAGCATTGCCTTCTTTGTAAGTATTGTTTTGTACAATATGTCAACACATGTTACGTGTCAGTTTGAAACCATGTGTTATTGTAAATATGGGTGCAATTCAATGTAATTTACAAGTCAATAAAAGTTGAATTAAAGTGATTTATATACAAGATAAAATAAAATAAAAGTGTGTAAAGTATTAAGTACAGTGTTATGTGCATTTATAAATATATATGAAAGTATGTGCAAATGCACTTTTTATTAAGAAAATCAAGTGGAACGACTTAAGACAACAAATAACTTATAAACAATGATATTGGCGCATATTCATAGTCATATTTAGTTCACAACTAAGTCGAAACTATCCTAAGTTACAACTAAAGCTATTCATAGTCCATGATCCAACTACACAAGATCTGACAAGATGAAGCAAAAGAAAAAAGTAATTTTCTGGCTGACGTTTGTAATTTCGGCGCCATGTTATTTTCTGTGAAAAGTAAACAAAGAATATGAAGACGAAGCCTAAAGAAAAAATGCAAGCAATGTTGTGCACATGTTTGTGCTAACCAATTTATTTTTTGTGTACGTGTTTTTGCATCTAATCACCCCGCACTTCATTTTAATTACATTTGCACAAAAAATCACTTAAAAATCACTGAAATAAACCACCGACAAAATACATATAAAGAAAGAAGCAATAGCAAACTTCAAAATTACGAACGTCACACACTTTTTTCTCATTTGCTATTACAAATGGCTGCTTCTGAACCGGTCAGATCTGTTCTAATTGGTTCATGTTCATAGTCGCCTTAGTTTCGACTTTTTTGGCTAAGTACCAACTTAAAATTTAGTTTCGGCTGCAGCTGCAGTTAAGTCGTAACTAGGGAGAAGTATTTTATTAAATTAAGGAAAAATAGACGAAATATGTAAAAATTAAGTTGGCAGAGCGTGATTTTGATAATATTGAATGATCTCCAATTGAAATTTACAAAGAGCGATCCATTTGAATCGGAAGGTGAAATAAAATGCGTTTTACAATTCGAATAAGGTTACATCACAATTTTATAATAGGAATGATTTACATATATAAATGCTCAAATGATAAGTCAACTTCAAGCTTGTTCTTTTAAAGCAAATTAGTGCAGAAGGCCCTGTCTCCACAGGAAAACACTGATGTCGTAATAACCATGTCACAAAATATATTTCCAATGGAGACCGCCTATTTCTCATGGGCTGCAATATATGTCAGCGCTTATTGCTTGACATCTATTGCAGGCAATTCGATAGTTTGACAGCCATATTTTCATTTGAAAGAAAGCGTGCTGGTGGTAACATCGAAGAAATTTTGATATTAAATCAAAATAAAAATCTGTTCCCTATTGGATTATTTATGATTACGTTTTAGGAAATTATCCAGCAAGTTTTTTAAAGATTTAAATGTTTTTAAACACCGAAATTGAGAGAATGTTGTCTGGTGGCGTCATGCGGAAAATGCTTATTTCAAGACATCAAAGTGCCCACACACAAAAACTTGCAATCATATTGCTGGTCAAAATGACAATTGGTAGGGCCATCGGTGTTTGCCTGTGGAGTTCTGCGGTAACATTTAGATATGTGTTTGTATTTTCACAGCATGCTTTCGATAAACATCGACTTCACATCATTGCGGTAGTTCTCGCTATTTCACACAATTAACAAGAAACTTATACCTTATTCTTTTGCATAAACATGCAATGCAAGTAAAAATTACATAAACGGATGATCAAACTTGACTTTATTTAATAAAAATGTAATTTTTCGAAAATATCGTAAAGAAAAATCGATATATTTTCACACTCGGTTTGCAATATCGTAAAACTAAGTTAAAACTACCTAGTAGAAGTCTGAAATGCGACTATGAATAGAATGAATTTTAAGTTGGTACTTAAATTTAAGTTGCAACTTTATTAGTTTCGACTTAGTGGCTGGACTATGAATACGCGCCATTGTTTATATATTTTACTTATACATGTTTTAGAGGATACCTCCCTTAACATTATGACCAAGTTTCATTTGTTAATTCCACCTGGTTTTCTTGAAACACAAGGTGCGGCTGACTACTAAAGTCCACCCAATTTTTGTGCTGAACGCTTATTTTGACGAAAGAAAATATTTTTATTTTGTAAGTATAATTTAAAGATAGTGCATTTCACAATTATTTTAAAATTTCCAATGTAATAAAAATTTTTTCAATTTGTTTTGAAAGGTTTTAAGCACCGAGAGTGAAGGCAGAGCGAATACGTTTGCTTTCAAAACGCGATCCATACATGTATGGATCGCGTTTTGAAAGTGCTACATGTTCAATATTTATTGACGGTATTGCGATCCGCGATCCAGATTTCAAAATGTTTAGAAATTTTGCGATA